TTGACGTACTTGGAAGAAGAATGGGGTAGACAGAATGAAACGTCAATTTATTCAATATCAGACTGATGATAAATCCATCCAGTTCTAGTATTCTGGTGACTGAATTTGGTGATTGATACCGATGATAATGAAGTAGTGTTGATCATAGTCCTAGAGGTGATGATATTAGCAGAATTAGTGGTCACAGTATAAGTAATAGTAATATTTGGTGCTGAAACCACGTGAGCTCACGTCTGGCAACCTTCATCGTGGTGGTGAAAACATTAGACATGAGGAATGTGTCAGATGTGCTGAACAACGGTTCGTAACTTTTTGATCGTGTGTTAGCTGATAGATGATTGTATATTATTTATTGATCTAAAAAGAATGTTGTCGACTATGTATGGTATTTGAACGAAGTCGTGATACCTTTGTACATGTTCAGTGCTCGATTTCGAATTCCAAATACAATACATTCGTTTGTGTTTGTATCATACTTCTTGATTCAATTGCGTTAATTCTGGGATTCCTAGTTCATACGATAATTCAAATACTTTCAAATATTATACTATGTCAAATACCATGACGTTGAATTTGAATGCTTAATTAGTGTGGACTCTGAAGTGAGGGATTGTGTGTTCTTCATTAGCTCGGTATTTTGATAGCTGGACTTAGTGGGAGATGTATCAAATAAGCTAGTGAAATTGATTGGGGAGTTTACCTAAGAGGAAAGGGTGGGAGTACTCTCTGATGGAAACTGTATGGAGGAAACAAATGAGTGGTTTGCATATGGTTTGAAATAACTTGGGCTATATGTTTAAACAGAGGTGTCACCAGGGTTCTTTTTCCAGAAAAATCTTGTACAGGCCTACTGCTAAGTGTATGGTTACTTGTAAAATGGTCTTGGTCGTTAGATTCGTTGCCTCTGTTATGGCTAATTACGTTTGCAAGAGAAGGGTATCCTGCGCGTAACTGGAAGGAGTTGCGACTGTCAAAATACGTTTGAGCCATTTTTATGTGATGAGTTGGTACTAAAAGCCGTAAAACGTTTTCTTTCTGAAAGTATTTACAGTTGTGATCCTGGGGAATGTAGATAGGGTGTGGAGTTAGAAACCTATTATTAACATTCTTATTAATGGTTTCAGGCTTAAGGAGGCGATTTGGATCACCAGTTCTCTGATAGTTCTCATTAGTCTGCGTGTAAGAACGCCTGTTACACTGAAGAACACCACCCATTTTGCAACTTAGAGGTGTTGAAGGCAAGTTATACGATAGCAGCGGGGTGAACCTGTCCACTGTTACGTTCAATCTTACATGTTTCCATATTCGGCTTCGTGTGTCTTATCTTCTCACCCTTTATTGTCAGAGCTGGAGACTTTCGTTGTCTCTGTGAGATGAACTCAGGATCATTCAAGTCTACATATGGAATATCTTTGGGAGAACTAATTTTCAAGTGTATAGGTTTAGTTGAATGTGAGTTGTCACATGACTCACATTCTAGTACATTACTGAGCGAACAGCCGGTATCAGTCATGTCGTCATGGTTTTTGGTGACAAATGGGGTTCGTATCTTATTCAAATGTTTCTGATCAGCAGACACATCTAGATCAACAGAGTGATCAGCCTTATGTGCAGTGATGCCATGCTTATTGTTCGTGTGTTTTAAACTATTTGCTGTGTGGCAAACTGTGTCTGGCTGATTGTTAACTGTAACACTCCCATTCAATTCTATCGCTTCACGTCTTCTCACACGACGTTGACAGGACGTAAGTTCTGGAGTGACTTTTACATTTTTGTATGGAATTAGTGAGCTAATATTTTTGCTCAAATCAATAAAGATTTAAGCGTCGTTACAACAGACAAACATAAACAGGAGAGAGCAAGTTGATCCGTCAAACTTTTTTCTAAGTCGGATGACTTTGCAATTAACGTTCGGCATACCGCATGCTTTAAGGTAAATATCCCTTACAATAGATGGGTGTGTGCGGTCGGGGAGGAAATACACAACTGCAATGAAGGGGGACATCACTCTCTTCGTCACTTCTTGAGCCGCGAATTTTAGACTTAGGCCTTGGTAGCACATCCTGTCCAGTAGACTGTGCTGACTTTTCGATGCACGTAGGTATAGTGTCTTGTATGTCAACCAGTCTTACCGTTGGCATACTGCACGTAGAGATAGAGGGGTTGCGACATGGAGAATCTGATGATGATAGAAACATTTGTGTACAATACACATATTGTTCAGTAGTTAAAGTTTCGACATTGTCAGGCACTGAGTCGTCAGTTGTAGGGATTGCCGATTTGAACTTTTTATTTAGCTTGGAAGTTGGAGAAATGTCTCTTTCACTGGACTTGTAGTGGTAAATTAATCCTCAAAATAAATAGCTGCAAGTTTTCGACATTGGATGCTGATCACATTAGTTGTAATGGACTCATCTAACTGAAGGCACTCGGTCATGCATCCGCACCAGATGAGGTGTAGGAACGCCGCGTTCTACATCTACTGTAATCGCTAGCCAGATAAGATCAAACCATTCTCGATATATTGACAGTCAACAAATATATCTTCCATCTCCTCGATTCTGTCTTCTGATATCTCTTGGTGGGTACGCTTCATATTAGGTGTTACTGTCAAACACTGAATACCTGTGCCATCTTCATTGGTGAGGCTAACGTGATCTGTTACACCAAATCGTAGACTGTGAGTCTGTTCCATTTCGCGATTCTATATATCATTGCTTTATTTTAATTTCTTATACACTGTGATATTTTTCACGCGTTTTTGGATATCTATATATTTTTCACTCGTGTATTCTCGTACTTAAAATTTCCCTATGACTGAACAGGCCCCCAAGTTATTCAAGATTAAGACTATGTCCCCAACCTCGTTCCAACTCATGCCCTTCTGGCCCGACAATATCAAAGCCTGGTTCTGCTACGCAGAAGCCGACTTTCAGGAGCACGGCGTGAACGACACACGTGCACAATTCCTCGCCGTAGTGAAGGCACTACCGCGGGAATTCAACAGGTACTTAACACCTAGTATGTTTACTAGGGATGTTTCTGAACCGTACGAAACGTTAAAGCGTTCTATCCTTAAACGTGGAGACCTAACTGATCGACAAAGGTTAGACCAACTGCTTTATAACAAAGACCTGCAACACGGTTCTGCGACGGACTTGTTGCAAAGGATGAGCGAGGTTATAGGAAAAAGAACTTCCGACGAAGGTTTATTCAGTTAAAGTTTCTTGTACAAACTTCCACAGCAGGTGCAAGCGGTTCCGGTCTCGTTTCAGAATAACGTCTTAGACAACCTGGCTGCATCTGCAGAACCTATCGTAGAAATTAAGAAATCGTCTACTGCCAAGGTTTCTTCAGCCAAAGAGAAGTATCAAACGACTCAGAATGACATAACCGAGCTATGCGTTATCTTAATCTTCGTAACTACCGTGAGCGATCACACACCTCACGTAGAAGCACTTCACGTAAGCGATCTGTCTCTAGACCACGAGAGACGGATAACTCTGACTGATGCTGGTATCATAACGAGTGCGGAAAGTCTCCCAGAAATTGCAGAAAACCCTGCAATTTTCCCAACTCAAAATCGAGCGACACGAAAGACAATTCAGGAAACTTCTAAGCCGGCATGCGTTAACGGCGACCGTAGCCGGCGAACGTAGCCGTCCGTTATTCGTCAAAGATGCGACAACGAGAGTTCGCTACCTCGTCGATACT